CCTGGCCTCAGGGACGCAGCCAGCTTGGCCACAGTGTGCTATGCACTGAATGTCAAGGCAGTCTCTTGGCGGCGTCGCAATGCGTGGAGACGTAGATCTTTGCTTTGGTGCGCCTCAGAGCCTTGAGTCCGTGAGCTGCCTGGACCTCGAATGGTTCACTCCGATCAGGAGAGGGCCCCAATCTCAACGTGCCAGGTGGAAGGAAGTAGTCAAGCACATATCAAGGAAGATCCCGCCGGATCCTCGGGTGTATGACGCTTTTGTCTTACTGATTGCATGGTCTGACGCGCGCCTGAACACAACGAAGAAAAGCCAGCATCAAAGACCCCCCCACACCCCAACCCTCACGGCATGCAGTGAATCGCGTTTTGTGAAACACCAGAATTGGTGCTCGCATGGCAGTTCTCTTTGCCAGCAAGGTGGCACACATAAGGGAGGAACAACACACTGACTTACACTCTCACACGCACGGCTGCTAGATGTTGCAAGACGTCTAGACCTGAGATCTGGCGAAAGCTAGACGCACGCCGGAGTAGCAGGCGGCCAGCGCAACCAGGTCAGTGCAGTTTATGTCCTCGTCTATTTTGGGGCTAGAAATCCTAACTCCAGAGACTCAGTGCGAAACGTCAAGAACTCGAGTGGCGAAGAATGTCTGCCATAGGTTTCTGCACGCTTCGAGCATAAGCAAATGCTGCTCGATTGTTGTTCGCACCCTTCCAACAAGCAACGAAAGGTTTTGAAGGGGCCTCAAGCGGGGGGGGCCCAATGAAATCTAAGGCACCCGGATAGGGGCCACATCTTTAAAGGGCCAAAGATTGGAAGAATCAATCTTTAACCCCCTCGCAGCCCGATTTTCAGACCAGATAAGGCCCGGGGTCGGTTGTTGACCTACCCGAAAAACTGCAGAGAAAGGTTGTAAACGACTCTCGCAAGCTCCAAAGAGCTAGCTTTCGTGACTTGCCGTAAGGTGCTTGACGCGATTACGCATCATCACCTCCGACTCGCAAGAGCTGCCGGCGAGGCGCAGCTAGGCTAGCGACCGTGAACCAACCCGCCCTCCCCGAGTTAGTGGCGAGGTTCAAAACTAGCTCCATGAAGACATATGGAAAGCAACCTTTTCATGGCACAAACAGCGCAGCCTGCAGTCGCTGCGACGACGGGGTTCAGATCCTAAGTCAGCCGCGATGCTCTGAAAATCGCTGCTGGTATCAACTCCGCAATAAATCAGCTGTGACCGGCGAAGGGCAGAACACAGAAAAACTGGCTGCCCCGTGGACATGTCATGTCACCACCGCTCTGCTACCGCATGCCGATCGTGCGCTTCTGCTCGTGGGCCGGGGGGTGGGGGTGTGGGGGAGGGTGGGGGGGGTGCGTGGGCTTGGTGGGGGGGCCTGTGGCAATCCAAATTGAAGGGTCAACTGAAACTCAAGCCAAGTTGCGGCACCAGGAACAACAGCACCTACAAGTACTTTCCCCAACATGGAGAAGTGATGCAGCCAGGCGTGCACTCTTTTGGACACGGCAGGGGCATCGCATCAAAACGTGTGTTGCAAAATGTTGCACGATGATGCCTCGAATTGGCGGCACCACGATTGGCGCGCGCTGCATCAAGTCCTGTGACAAAACGTCAATCAGCGCATAAAGCTAAAGTTTTGAGAGCCTATAGATGTGCAGCAAGTACTGTTTCTGCCTGTTCGCCGGCCGTGTCTACCTGGAAAGGTACAAGCACAAGGCCATGCACAGAATCCCAGCAGGACTCTGAGTGCTGTATCAAACACGCTGAGCTCAACAGATCCATGCCTGCCATGGGACAGATGCTTCAGCTGCCTCCTAAAGCAGCATCAGGGCATTCCATGCAGTCTTGGCAGTATACGAGCTCACTGATGAAGGAAGACGTCTGCAGTCTGCAGGCCTGCATCGCGGCGTGTTCTGCCGCGCTCTGCACCACTGCTCTCGCTTGAGCCTGATGCACTGTACTTTCATCACGGATGACCACGGCGGAAACATCCGACAGGCTGCGCTCTATCCACGCCTCCAGGGCCTCTGCCGCCCCTGGTTGGCAGAGCATGGCCGCTTCCTGGTGGTTCTGAAAGGACATTGCCCGATTTATCACGTCTTTGGACTTTTGCACTTTGGCATCAGAAGAGTGCAGACAGTTCTTCTCGTCCTCGTCGGTGAGCCAGGATGGTTTCCAGGGCTTTTGCGCAGGCCTCAGACTTGCACTGCATGACTTCGCGCGTGACTTGTGATTTGCCTTGTGACTGCGGTCTAACTCCGCCGATATTAGCAATTAAATTTCACGGCATAGCAATACTGCTGGTCATGTTGAAAACTTGACAGTTTGAGCTTTGAAACGAAGCCTGGACCCGTCAGATTTTGCTCCTTCTAATATCTAAAAAGAATCGAGACCACCCTTGACCGGATTGATTGCCCAAAACAAAGCAACGTGTGGATTTGTTCGGATCTTATCTAAGTCAATGTTCGCATGATCAAGGCCCCCCTCGCTGCCGCTTACAGTGCCCTCAGGTCTTGGATATCTCGGACCTAAAGGCCGAAAGTCACTCTTGGTGCGCGTACGTCGGCGTACTATCTCTCGGACGAGAGCGTATCTTTTCTGTTCGATTCGGAAGCCCATGTTAAGGCCGTGGCATGCTGACGTCCATGAAGGCATCCATGCCCTTGCCAAGTGACAGGAACCAGACTAAAAACACTTGAACATAGTCGAGATGTTCAAGCTAACTGCTGAACTCTCCACGCCATTACTATTTGTGGTCAAGGAGGGGGGTATCCCCTGAAGTTCCGTTTGCGTAAGCGCATCCTAAAGGTCGCAGCGATGATGCCTTTCCTGCGAGTCCTCCCATTGGGCCTGTCTCGCCACTGACTACAACTAAGCCTGACACATGCAGCCAGGTACCGATAGAGAGAGGCTGAGACTGACACTTCTTAGTAGCCGCACCCGGCGACAAATTCTGTGCTATGTGATTTTTACGACCACCTGTCATGTGACGCTCTAAAACACCCCTTCACAAGTAGCACGTTAAAGCCGAATCTAGATACATGACATCAGAGTGTCCGTAGCGGTCATTACTCAATACTTTCTGCCTCGGGCTTGGCGAAGCGACACGCTGGCTGCACGATTTACCGGCCCAAGTTCGGACTACTTTGCATAGTGAGTGAGTTTGGCTCGAAGGCTTCAGTTGTGCTGACTCTGCAGCGAGCACGCAGAAGGCCGTGTGCCAAGTACTGTAGGGCCTGGTTACTACACAGATGCTGCCATGAAATATAACCAAGCGTGGACAGCTGCAGCAATCGCATGCAAAGCCAAAATGAGCACATGAGCACCATCTTCGGCATGTGGGGAGCTGGTCGTTGCCGAGACGGACTGCAGCTGCTTCAGCACGGTACCACCCCTTTGAATTCGACCCTCGCGAGGGCTGCCCATGGCTGCCCCAAGATGCAGAACGCATTTTCTCAGCCACGGGCACAACACCCTTTTTGAGGCCCAATTCTTTGTGAGACCAGGTCCCATATGAAGTCAGAGTTGCGATTCCAGATCGCAAGAAATTCGACCCCCATGCTTGGCACGAGGTCGCTTTAAATCCTTTCAGGTGATGCACCCTGAAGTGCAACGCTACATGCATGATTCCTTGCAGCGCTTGCACTCCAGCAAGGAGTTGTTTTGCGAAGCCGTGGATGAAGGCTAATGGTTCCAACTGTTCCTGGTAAGCTACGTGTGGAATCCATGAGAACATCCCAACCTGAAGCAGAACTAGCAACTCCTACTATTGCGTACCTGATCTGGCCTCGCTAACGTTCGCAACGCTCAGGCAGCGCAGACGTTGCGCAGACCTTGTCAAGCGGCAACTCTGACTGGGCCTATCACCTCCCACGCAGCAGGCCAGGACATGCCAGGACCACATGGACTTAGCAATAGTGTCACGTGCTGTCTCGTTTCCTCATTTCGCCGATGATCCCTAACCTTCCCACGACCTTTTTCTGCATTCAAGCAAGCACCGTTATCCCCCGCTACGCCTGACAAAAAAAAAAGCCGACAAAGCATCGAACCGAAACGCGCAGCAAATTACTGCACCCTCCACCCAGGCTCTTCAAAGGCAACTCCTGCTTGGCGGTTCATACCTACTTCTAAGATCTTCTAAGTAGGGTTAGTACCCTAAGTAACGTTGTAAGCACAGCCACCCTACTTGTAACCCTACATATAAGTGCCACAGTGCGCGTGAACCGCCAGGTGCAACATCCTACCAGGTCCTACAACATAAGACAGTACGAGCGTAATGCGGCTTAGGGGTTGAAGGGGTTTGGGCTTTCGCACGTTTGGGGGATGGTGTGGGGCTGAGGGTCACTGAGGGTTCAGGCTTGAGGGATTGATTTTTTGCCACCTGCCTCGCTGACTGGGTCGCAATGCAGGGCAGTCTCAGGGTTTCGTGTCTGGGCTTCAAGGTTTTCAGGCCCGTCAGGGCCACTCTCTGGATTTGACGCTTGGTCAGTGGGAGTGGGGAGTGGAGGACCAGCTTGGTCGTGGCAAGCTCGTTATTCACCCAATTTCGCATCTCAACATATTTGTATTTTGGTCTTAATACTCTGGCAGCTTGCGTAGAGAGAAAGCTATGAATGGCTTCAAGACTGCTACTCACTGCGGGCACGTCAAATGTCGGTGCACACTGGGAGTCAAGCAAAAAGCCGAAGGAACAACTGGCGCCCTCGCGGCGGATGCCTGCAGGAATCACAACTGCACGCTTGAAGGAAGCTGGCAACCTTGCTGGCATGTCATGTAGCCCCGTCACGGCATGTCACGGCTGAAACCCATTTCGAGCTGCTGATTGATGCGCCGACGCCCGTGCCTGTGAACACCTAGGGTGTTGAGACTTAGGAAAAAAGCATGAGAGTCTACTCACGGCCTTCTCATGGTAAACATGCCCCGCGCTTTGCGAGCGACGCTCTGGTGAAACACGCTAAGAGGCGAAGAGGCGAAGAGGCATGCCTCAAAACTGTCTGGCCGTCCCAAGCGGCCCCATGTGCTCAAAGTCAGAGTTTCCCGAGCTTTGAGTGGTGCGGACACCGACCGGGCCGGTCGTGTCAGCGCTACTTCTGCGGTCACTGGAGGTGCCTTGCACCTGTAAGGATGTCCTTTGAGAGCCACCATTTGATCTGCAAGGCACATGCCCATCTCGCCTGTTCGCCCGGCCATGCGACACCTGCCTGTCAAATAGTGATGGCACTTTGCCGACATGCTCCAAGCCCTCTTCGTAATCTGCAGGGTTGGATCCACGGTGTCTGGCCCGAGGCCAATGCGGACGTTCGAATCCTTAACTTGAATACTGCGCCGGAATGCAGGCATGCGCTGTATGTATGCACAGATACCCAGGTTACTGACATGATGGCCTCAATGACGGGCCAAAGCTTCGTGCCACGCTGTTACAAGGCAATGCTAAGACTGCATGGCTCGGGCGAGCTTCGGCAGGCTATGCTTGTCGAGGCCGCTCGGGACTGCCTACACTACTTGTAGTAGCTACTTGCAGTTCCATGGTTCTCAATTTGTTGGCTTGAGGGTGGTGGGGTGAACCTGGTGCTGAGGTTCTGCTTATCCAAGATCCTTCGAGATCACAGCCCACACATCCAACATGTTTACGTTTACCTTCGGCGTTGCCACTTTGAGGGCCCGGGCATGGCCAACTACTGCTGGGAAGGTTGTTTCAACAGTATACATCCAGTGTACATCTAGAGACGGGTTATGCCAGGACTCTGGACAGCATGTCGTCATAACTGATGCCCTGGAGGGAATGCTCAAGCAGCGTAACGGTCTTTTTCCTGAGTTGTTCCAAGCTGCCACAATACGTTTGACATTTTGGCAAGTCAGACATAGTCAAATAACTCAAACCGGGTTCTGGAACCGCGCTTAGTGACAGAGCCTCCTCGGTAGCCTTGTGAACAAATCGCTCCAAAGTCCGCATCGCATCGGCAACATGAGCTCCGGCCGCGATCTCCATTGAGGTCGCCGTGCTGCTCGGAAGAGGCTCCTCACTGCTGCCATGGGTCGGACTTCCAAAGCAAGAGCTGGACTTGCGAAGGCACTCAGAAACATTTTGCGTGTAGTACCCCTGAGTGCGGGGATGTGGGGCAGAGAGATGAAGGGAGACTTCTCACCTGCATCACCACTTTGTCCAGCAAATCCTACAGCGCCTACAGCTGGGCTACGCGATGAGCAACATGGCGAGCTGCAGCGATCTGAACCAACTGATCAGCCCGCTGGCCGACGAGTGAGATGAGGCATCACATCCTTCAGAGACGATAAAGGGATATAAAGGGCAAGAGCACTTCGGCGGAAGAGAAGAACGCAACGATGTGAAGGTGTCAGGCCCGGGCGGAGTACGCATGCAACTAGCTGAAGGTGCCCACAGCAGCGGACATCGATTCTCGCAGTCCAATCCGTCCGACTCTTTGGGGACATAGTAGTCAAGTGTTCAGAAAGCATACAAGGCGGCCCAGGACTTGAGCCTGCGTACGCTGCGGTGCCAACCCCAGCTTGGAAGGCCATCGACGAAACTGCGGTCTAGATGTCCAGAGACAACAGACGCTGGGCAGGCACTATCACTGAGTTGGATTTGGTAGAAGAGCTGAGGGCAAAGACTGCTTGCAGAACGAGCAAACTAATCTTCAGTTCATGTACATGTCGCGGAAAAGTTCGATCAAGGTTTATCACGGAAACGGACATCTTGGAGGGCCGAAGAATCTCCGAGAATGCGAAAGAGATGCGTTGGCGGGACCACTGCTCGAGGCACGGAACAAGGATGAAAAGGCCTACAAAGGGGTGTGTGTGTGTGTGTGTGTGTGTTATACATATATATATATATAATCCGCCGACCCCTAGCGGGGCGGCGTCAGTGAAGACCCATTACCCCTACCACCTACTCCACCCCATCCAAAGCTCGACCCGCCCCCGGTGCATGCCCCCCCTCTTGCCCTACCCCCACCACCCACGCACCCCGCTCCTTCCCTTGCCCAAGCCCCCCACGCACCCCGCCATGCTTCTCATGGACCCATGGCTCCTCCCAGTGCATGCCCGCCCGCTTGCCCTACCCCCACCACCCACGCACCCGCCCCCCGCTCCTTCCCTTGCCCAAGCCCCCCACACACCCCGCATGCCCCTCACCCCCAACCCCCCCCACCCCGCACGCACCCTGCCCCGCCGCCCACGCTTGTCATGGACCCATGGCCTTCCGGCCCATGGGCTCCACCCCACCGCCCAACCCCCCCGCCCCACCCCCCACCGCACCCCACGCAACCTACTTCCCACTTACCTCACTTGCCCTTGCCACTTTTTCTCCAGCCACTTTCCACTTACCTCACCTCCTCCACCTACCTCTCCACTTCCCCTCTCACCCCCCACTC